CAGAGGAGTCTCCTTACAACTTTTTTAACTAATAGGCCTAGAATCATGTGTGATCGCTCTTTTCTATATAGGGTTGACCCAGTAAATCCATTTCTGATGTTACTTTCGCGATTAAAGGTCAGGATCACCCAATAACGTTTATGTGCTTGGAGTAAAGGAGGATATGGTTGATGAGTGGAAGATTTTCAAGCAAATGTTTAGCAACTACGCTATTATCGCTGAATTATCTAAGAAGCCTAAAGAATACCAGAAGGCAGTTCCAGAAGGCAAGAATGACAAGACTGGTAAGAAGTACAAGATACATTGCATTGTAATCAGAGAAGATGGATTGACACCTCTTCTGAGTGGGCATGCAGCAGAACAGATGAAGCTTCTCACTGTCCGTTATGAGAACTTTGAGACAGTGAACTTAGTGTACTCTCAAGTTGTGATGGATGAATATCCTAAAGTGTTTGATTGCTCAAAGGTTGGCAGTTTGCAGGGAAAGAAGATCCATTTGACGCTGACAGAGGATGCAAGACCAACAGTAAGACCAGCTAAGGTAGTTCCGAAAACACTTAGGAACAAAGTGAAAGCGGAACTAGATGAGTTGGTGAGCCGAGGGATTATCTCAGAAGTGACAGAACCCACTGATTGGGTGAACCAAATGGCCATAGTCCAGAAGAAGTCTGGGAAGATGCGTCTCTGTCTAGATTCCTCGACCTCCTCGACCTCCTCGACTTTTGAATCGAGCGAGCACTACTCATTGCCAGTGCTAGATAACATCCTACCCCAGCTGTCACAGGCAAAGGTTTTTTCCATCTGTGATTTAAAGGATGGGTACTTTCACTGTCTTCTAGATGAAGAGTCAAGCTTGCTAACGACATTTGCTACGCCGTGGGGAAGATATAGATACAAGAGGCTCCCATTTGGCCTGAATATTAGCAGTGAGGTGTTCCAGAGGCGTCTGCATCAAGCGCTTGATGGCTTGGATGGCGTACGTTGTGTTGCAGATGACATCATCGTCTGGGGCGCTGATGTGAAGGAGCATGATAGTCGTCTTTGCAGCCTACTTCGAAGGTGTCGGGAGATTGGAGTCGTACTCAACAGGGACAAGTGTCAGTTCCGACTAGCCGAGATCCATTTCCTGGGTCATGTCATCTCACGCAATGGGTTGAAGGTAGATTCATCAAAAACTGAAGCCATACTTCGTATGGAGTCTAGCTCCACAGAACAAAGATGATATTGATCGACTTCGAAGAATGGTAAATTACCTATCCCGGTTTCTTCCAAGACTGGCAGATGTGATGCAACCTTTGAACGAACTCTCCCGTAAGAATGCTGAATGGACTTGGGATGCCAACCATGATATGGCAATGCAGGAGCTGAAGCAGCTTATGACTGAAGCGCCAATATTGATGTACTACGACCAGACAAAGCCCCTTGTAATTCACACTGATGCTAGTGCAAGGGGACTGGGTGCTGTTATGACTCAAGATGGCAAGCCGGTAGCGTATGCCAGTAGAGCATTGCGAGACGCAGAACTTCGCTACTCTGTCATAGAAAAAGAGTTGCTAGCCATAGTGTACGCCCTTGAAAAGTGGAATCAGTTCACTTTCGGTCGCAAGGTAACAGTCTTCTCAGACCACATGCCTCTCCACAGCATCACAAGAAAGCCGCTGGATAGAGCACCAAAACGGCTCCAGGGTTTATTGCTACGAGCACTAGCATATGATGTTGATGTCCAGTACATCAAGGGGAAAGAGAACCACTTGGCAGATCCCCTAAGTCGGTCCTTCCTGAAGTCCCATGACGGCCAGGAAGACATCGAGCTGGTAAATGCAGTTAGTCATCTGTCTCTGCCAGAAGAAGACATTCTCAAGATGAGAAAGCACACGTGTGAGGATGAGGGCTTACAAGCATTGAAAAGTACTATCATGACTGGATGGCCTGAGTGCAAGGCACAGCTCTCACCACACGTGATACCATATTTCAACCTGAGAGATGAGCTCACTGTAGTTAATGGCTTAATTTTCAGAGGAGAGCGACTTGTAGTTCCCAAGGCAATAAGAAGAGATATCAAGACTGATCGCCATATAGGCCATAGTGGAGTGGAAGCGACTCTCAGACGAGCACGTGAATATGTCTATTTGCCGCAGATGGCCCAAGAAATAATTGAATGGATTCAGACATGCGCAACATGCATGGAGTACTCAAATGCCCAACCTCAACAGCCTCTGATGTCACATGAGGTACCCAACCGACCATGGGAAAAGATCGGAGTTGATCTTATGTTTTTGGAGGGTGAAGAGTACTTAGTGACAGTTTGCTATAGATCTAACTTCTGGGATCGATTGTATAAGTCGACTGCGAAGAGTGTGATCAACAAGTTGACCAACCATTTCGCTAGGTATAGAATCCCGGATGAGATGGTAAGAGATAATGGACCTCCGTTCTCGTCAAGAGAGTTTGCAAGCTTCATCAAGAAGTTGAATATTAAACACTAAACTATCTCACCCTATAATAGCAAAGCGAATGGGCATGTTGAGTCGGCAGTCAAATCAGCGAAGAAAGTCATGAAGAAATGTCGGAGGTCTGGTGAAGATCTACATCTCGCGTTGCTGAATTTGAGGAACACTCCTACGCAAGGTGTCGACTCCAGCCCTTCACAGAGATTCCTCGGAAGGCGTACTAAGACAAGAGTCCCAACGACGTCCTCACTTCTGAAGCCGAGGAGTCACGAGACTAAGCACGCGATGCAACAACTCGAGCTTAACAAGAAGCGTCAGGCCAAATACTTCGATAGGCATGTGAAGGAGCTGCCTGAACTTATTCAAGGCGACGTTGTCAGGATGAAGCCGTTTCGACCAGGAGAGAATCGTTGAAAAAAAGGAAGGGTACTTCGTTAAAAGTAGTGATGATAATACTACATGATAATAATCCATAGATAATAATCATGATAATACACAATAATACCGCATGATAATAATCAGCGGGTGATTCAGGGTGATCACACTCTGTCGACAGTGCCAACAAATCATGGTTTTCGGTCAAGCAGCGCAGCAGCAGCAGCGAGGCCCACGCAGCAGCACGGGCCGCAGGGAGGAGGGGGGACCCTAAATGTGCCAGTGCAGCAGCAGCAGGGCCCACGCAGCATGGGCCGGAGGGAGGAGGGAGAGAAACCCTACGTGTGCCAGCGCAGCAGTAGACATACGTCCCCGCAGCACGAGCGCGGTAGGGTTGCCCCTCTGTGCGTCAGGGCAGTACCGACATTATTCCTAAGATTATTCCTAACATAAACAGCCACTGAAGCGCCTCCTAGAAACAACGTCAGTAACTGAATTTTGGTGCAGTCAGCAGATACGCGAGGCCTACCCGGCTATGGCTCGTGAAGCTATTTCCGTTCTAGTTACGTTTGTAACCAGCTACCTGTGTGCAGCAGGCTTTTCAGCGATGGTTACAATCAAGACAAAAGCCCGTAACCGCCTTGACATCCGCAGAGACATGAGAGTCAGTCTGTCAAAAACTGAACCGCGGTTCAAAAAGTTAGTTTCTGCCATGCAGCAGCAGTCTTCTCATGGAACTGTCGTTTCGTGCGCAGTGCGCTTGATTGGTAAAATTCGCTGTGCGACTGCATTAATAAAACATAAACATGATGTCAAAATATTCATGACAATACATCAGTGTTGGTTCTTCATTTTGCTTATGCAGGGGCGTGTACAGAGGAGGTTCCAGCGGGGCTCCGGACCCCCCCCTCTGCTCGCGCAGCAATAACGCATCTAAGGGCGATAATTTCAAAAAAAATTGTCAGCCTGTAATGAAACAAAAAACATTCGTGTTGCTCGCGAGGTTTGTGGGAGTTTACGGTTAGAGTTCCCCCGCCCCCCCCTGGTACAAATCCTGTACACGCCCCTGTTATGATGGGAGAAGGGGTACCAGGAGATAACAAATTTGGGGTACGGGGAGTCCAAAAGGTTGGGAACCACAGTCTTATACGACCACGATAAGCAGCGGCTTCGCTACACTGGTGTCCGTGACCCGCGCGTACATTTTGCTAAACGTCTTATTACGTGAGAGAATATGTTACATTCTTGTTATTGATGTTGCAGTAGTTACTATGTGGCTAACATATGCGTTTTTCTTTACACCGAGTGGTTCCTGTCACCCGAAGTAGCGTTCATTCTTGCGGGTTGTCGAAAGTATTTGATCATCACCGCACCGCCGTGTTGTCTCACCACGATCGTCGCAGACATGTACTTGTAAGTGCACCGTTATCCTTATATATAACTACGGAGTTCGTTGTCTGCATATTGTTATATTTTCTCTTGCGATTGTTGATTTCTTATTTTTGCTGTGCCTATGCCGTATTCTTATGGGTTATTGTGTATATCTAACGTTTATTAACATTGCTACTCAAGCCATGCACTTACTTTCCTGCCTGTCATATGTGTGTTTCGTCTTTCACTCAAACTATTTTGTTATTCCACTAGCTCATTCCCCTTCTCTTTTCCTTGTTCTCTTTCTTTGTGTGATACTATCTCTTCCATAATGGCAACGCCTCGTCATCACGTTAAAGATCCACTCATTACCCCTTCCTCTCAATTCTCTCCCTTCTTTTTTATTAATAATATCAAATGATACTTAAATTGAAGATTTTCATAGATATTAATAATATGAAATATAAGAAATTATGATACATGTTTATTCCCGGCTGTCTCTAAAATGGAAACGCATTTATTTCATTGCTATTTTTTAAACTTGCTACATTATAAATTATCACATTTGCAGGTTTCATACAAGTATATATACACGTACACAATTTCCCCATTTTCATTGCTTTGTACAATGTATTTAGAGTTAACATTCCTCCTTGTTCATATACATGTAGTTAGATGTGCATTAAACATGAATCAATATATATGCTTTGCAAGTATATCATGTATGACATGTATGTCTGAGTGTGCATTTCTGTTGTATTAGAATTAATAAATCCAGGGAGAAAAAAGACATCCATAAATAAAGGATATGACCGAGACTGACTGAACTGACTAGCTGCAGTTAACTGACTGACCGAGTGGAAACGACACTGCATATCTACCTAAAATACCCCACAATGAATATCATACACACGTGAAAATCCAAAAAACACAAAGCACAGGCAGATAGTCGATCGATTCAGTACAGAAAACAAACGCACGCACGATTTTACATAGCTTCTGTATAACATTCATGCATATTATGTATTATACGGCAAGCGCGTACGAGCGAACGCGCGATCCAACTTTTCAGCTATGTACAAATGACCTATGACCCGATGACGTCATAGGGCTTCAGTGCGTAACTACGAAGTGGCTTATTCTTAGAGTACTGACGGATGAAGACATTACCTGAAAACACTGATGCATGATGATGGCGCAATTCTCGAGGATCAATGTTTGAATCCAGTTACAACGACGATAGAACAAGCATTGCTTCCTCACACGCAAACACGCCCTCCCTCGTCTCTGAGCAACACTCGCTGTTCGGCTAGAGCAACGCTGAGCGGCGGCTGCGGCTTCATTCGCAGGACACTGCAATCACATGAACATTGAACTATGCGGTAACGCAGGGCAATGACAATCGTATCTACATAACAACTGGCACAGAACCGCCAGCCGCACTGTGCATTCAATACATTCAGTCTGCCGTACTTTCGCCTATGCCTTACTCTTGCCTTGCGTTCTGTCCGGCTGCAATGTTACACACAGCCTCCACGCTTACGATGGCGCTGCACGTAGATCGAGCTAGCCAGCTTCCACTGCGGCGGCGGATTCACACCCATCGATGAGTCATAGCAGCTGCATGCATTTATATGGCGTGCTACTGCTGGCTCGGGCAGCCCCAGTTCGGATTCTGCCTGGATTTAATAGACTCTTAAGTAAGACTGCCGCTGACGCTACGTGAGTCTCAGTGTGACACCTTTCCTAGTGAGAATGTCTCGAAATCGGCAGTCTAGCCCCGGCACTTGTTACCATGGAAACGCGCGTAATTTCTATAAAAATCCAATAAGTACTGGGACAGCCACTTAGAGAAACTGATCACATTAAATTTTTTTTCCTACACTAGGCGCGTTTTTATGGTTGTGTTCCAAATAAAATATCGGCGTTTTGCTTTTTTACAATAGCAATACTAGGAATTTCTTAGTTTGAGTGCAATTTCATATCTCGCCCTCCGACGATACAAAATGTAGATAACAAGATCTTCTACGGAAATGGGACTGCAGCTGTAAATACAGCCGTTCGTTATTAATATAATAGCTAGTTTTAATTATTCAGCAGCAGCGCTACCGCAAGACCTACTCAGCCATGCTGCATATCTTACGTTGCTTATTATTTATCTACACCACAAGCATTGGTAAGATGCCGTTACTGGTTGCGTCCGCTAGATGTCAGCCTGATGCAATAACATCAAACACTGCCTAGCATAGCGGATCCTCGTTGGTGTGGAGTGAGGCAATCCGTAAAGATTATACTCCCTACCGAGGAGAGCAATAGTGACGTTTAGATGCTAACAATTAATACTATTCCAAAACACAATAGACGACAGTTAATTAAGCTTCTCTGTGCTATGAATATAAACTCGGCGCCGGCTCTAATACTTCGCCTGTATACATCGTAAACCTCCTGCACAATATCTGGTATCGACAATTGGCTGTTTCGTACACTTCACCTACGCAAAACGGGATAGTAATAATAGTCACTCTACAGCTCACAACATGAATCTATATAATATAATAGCCTTTGGTATGTAGCCGCAAGATATACTCACTGATTGATTAAAGCTGATGCTAATGAGTAATGATTACTAGAAGTAATATATAAACGTTAATCAAGATATATTATTATATTACATACGTAATTCTTTATTCTTGTAATTATGAATATAGCTCAAAACAATTTGACTAAGAACTATAATTAAAAACTAATGGAAGGGCGTCCAGGAGCGTGTTCTCAGTGATTTCAGTACGTATAGGTAATGCGATTCATTGTACTTTAAACTGAATGATCCAAAACATTTCTGAACCCTTTAGTTTAACATATTGCCACCTCAGCGTCCAGCTTGTAATGATTTGTTAAAGCTATGTACGCTTGTAAGTGTATGTTAAGCTTGTAAAATAACGTGTAAGCTATGTTTAGACGTACAGATAATAGGGCCTAATACGACAACATAACCAGTAAAGCATAATTTATTCTTGCTACGCAGTAAAGGTTTCATTTTATTACAGGCATAATGAACTCTGCTAATGTGTACCAATACGTAAAAGCACAAACATATAATACAATATCTTTTAAACACGCTCGACACCGCTTATTTCGTTATATTTATAACCGCAGAACTCCGAAACAGCCGAAATTGTTCGATCAGAATCAATTATTCAGCATAACCATGTATGCAGCAGTAAACAAATTATTAATTAAAATGTGCGCACAAGCGTGCATGTGTGCGCGTGCATGCATGTGCGCATGTGACGCGCGTATGTACATGAGTGCGTGCGTGTGTGCGCGTGTACGTGGTAATCTGCATTTAAGCGTCTGCGTCTGTATATATTTAAACGCGCATGCGCATGTGCGTGTGTGCGTGCGTACGTCCGTTTGGGCGAGCATGAGTTCGTATTTTAGACATCGACAAACATTTATAAATATGCTTGATGTGTGGTTATAGCGTTTAGTAATTATTAATGCACGGTTTACGGCGTCTAGATAGCTTTTCCCAAAAGTTGTTCCTTCATGACGGAGTCGTAGGCTGCCACCAGTTTCCGCATATGGTGGCATAAAACAGGGACAGCTCGCCAGGGAGCATGTGGGGGCATTATCCGCAGTTTCGTATCGACAATAATTTTGTTACAATAAACGTATACTTTACGTGAACGTGAATTAACGCAGGGGGAATTTTCTTGAAATCTTCAAAGAGAATGCATCGCTCACCGTCCAAGGTGCCTCTAAATTGCAGCTAGGGAGCGCGTATGAGTAAGTAATACGCCAAGAAATTATGCCTTAAGAAAGCACTAATGAAAGTGTTGCATCAACGATACATTTTTGTTACTTTAGGATGAAAAATTCGCAGGGAATTCATGAACACCAACAATTAATAGGCAGCTTGATGGATATGATTGAGGGCAACACTGAACCTGACCGGACAACAAGACAGTGCCGTGGTCACACATTTTCAATATGGCTATCTGGCTTTCTGGCTATGACGACAAAAAAACATTTATTTTCAGATGTGTGTTATGCACGTATAACTTTATTCAAACTAACATGGACAAAGCTGCGTGAACGTCTAAAGCACAATTATTTAACAATCGCTGAGTGAGAGCCACATCACTTATAACCATGCAGTAGCTGTTCAATTTAAAAACAACTTAAATAAATCGAGATGTTCGCAATTTTTATCTTATAAGAATATACAAGTAATTATAATACAGACTATTCATTCGCATCAGCATGAAGAATGTAATATATACGTTCTGTTCGCCCACACTCGACTCGGCCACCTTCACCGTTTGAGCGCGCGCTCCTTTTTATCTCACACAAAAAATGCAATAGTTGTCCCATCAAATACATTGCTGCTTAAAAGACAACCCATCTAATCTTAAATTCCGTATATACAACAAATCTCTTGATCCTTCTGTCGTAAGCACCTACAATCGACACATGACCGTAACCACCATCGCATATCGTTTATTTAGCCACACAATACATTATTACGCGCTGCCATTAGAATAGAATAATAATTTAGTAAGTTTTTCACGTGCATCTCACCGACTCGTTTTCATAAATGGCCGGATATAACGTGAATTTATTTGCAAACAAATGCCATTTCATTCACTTAATATGACTACTTACATAGGTTCGCCGAACCCTGGTGTCGGTCGCACAGTGTGGAAGGAATCGAGTGGAACAAACCGTCTTCGCGCTGTGGGAACATGTGGGCATACGTACACGCATGCTCACCGTACGTACCTACGACTAAGAAGGTGGTTAACGGAGGACGCTGTGTAGGGTGCATACACGGAGCAGGCCGCTACTCTCTTTCGACCGCCTCCCTCATGACCTCTAGCGCCATGTACTTGATAGCTTCAAACGTCTCGACCCCCACGGGCACAATGCGCGAAGGTGGCAGGATGAAGTCGTGATAGCCCTTCCCGGGAAGTTCGACTCCGTACGAGTACTTGATACCGGCGACATCGTACCACCAGTCGATGCTGTCCCCGCTGGCTCGATCTATACGGACGGTGACAGATCGGTCGTCAATGTACATCGGAAGAAGGCAAGAAAAAACTTATTTAAAATTGTGCAATAATTGGGAATTTAATAATGGCGTGTTCGCCAACAGCCGATGATGTATTACTATTTCGTATATTATTTTAATATCGTCGCGCTGCCTACGGGCAGCGCTAACGTCAATGAACGCGTTTTATCCCGTTACAATAGATACACGCGCAGCACGTGCGCGTGTAATTAAACAGCAGGAAACATAATAAACCTTCGTATGAGCATTGTCTTAACATAGCGGGCTCGGTGAAAATTTCATGTTAAACTCAATAACGCTGGCTAGATAGTACGGTGCTTACAGATGCTGTTGGCGACGGAGCCGACGATGTAAATCGTATTATTCACTTTCCACAGCTCATCGGTCGCATCCACGGCCAGCATGTACTAGAAATACAGCGACAGACAGCTGTGAAATCGAGATTGTAAATGGTTTCTAGCGATAGGACAGTATAACATTAATTAATTGAAATCAAAATAAAAGAATCTATTCTAGAAAATAGGAACCCCTGAAATCGCAAAAATTTGCTTTGCCCGAAATCTCTCGTCTGCTAAAATCCATCAACAAATTCTGCGTTCTGACTACTTATTTAAAGCTTAGATTTTACAACATGCATTTACTTTTCTTTGTAATATAGTGGGAATAGTGTTGACCCACGTACGGGTGTACGTGGTGTAGACCCACGTACGGGTGTACGTGGTGTAGACCCACGTACGTACGGGTGTACGTGGTGTAGACCCACGTACGTACGGGTGTACGTGGTGTAGACCCACGTACGTACAAGTGTACGTGGTGTAGACCCCCGTACGTACGGGTGTACGTGGTGGAGACCCACGCACGTACGGGTGTACGTGGTGTAGGCCCACGTACGGGTGTACGTAGTGGAGACCCACGCACGTACGGGTGTACGTGGTGTAGACCCACGTATATACGGAGTGTATTGTGTTAGACAGCGTACAGTACGGTGTAGCGTGTTAGATACATCACAACGTAACGGGGTAGTGTTCTAGACCACCCACGTACGGGTGTATCGTTGTGTAAGACGCCACGCAACTGTACGGGTTAGTATACGTGGTGTAAGACCCAGCACGTAGGCGGGTGTACGTTGTGTAGACCTCACGTACTGGGTTGGACGTGGTGAGAACCTCACGTACGTACGCGGTGTACGTGGTGTAGACAACGGGTACGGCGTACGTGTGTAACCACGTAACGTGTACGTGGTGTAGGACCCCTATTTTTCTTGTAACGTACGGGTGTACGTGTGTAGACCACGTACGTAGCGGCTGCACGTGGTGATAAACCCATGCGTACGTTACGGTGTAAGCGTGGTGTAGATACACCCACGTAAGCGGTGTACGTGTTGTAGACGACAACAGAAACAGCGAGCGGTGTACGTGGTGTAAGACGGCCACGTACGTACGGGTGTACTTTGTGTGGACGGCGCACGTAACGTACGGTAGACGGTGATAGACCACGTACGGGTGTACTGGTGTAAGACCTCACATAACGTCAGGTTACGGTGTGGACCCAGCTCGTACGGGTGTCACGTGTGTAGACCACGTACGGGTGTACGTTGGTGTAGACCAAGTACTACAGGTCGTAAGTGGTGGACGCGCAAGTACGTACGGTGTACGTGTGTAGACGCACAG